TGTGTGTGTGTGTGTGTGTGTGTGTGTGTGTGTGTGTGTGTGTGTGTTTCACAACTGCGAGGGGTTCTAGCACCCTCTTCTGGCCTCTATTGGCACTACATGCATATAGTGAACATACATGCCAGCAAACACTCATGGAATTAATTTTTTAAAAATAAATTTTTTAAAATATAAAAATTAGAAGAAATGAAAAAAATAATAACAAGGAGGCTATTACTGTGTACCACTAAGCACAAAATAGAATGCCACACTGCCAGTTCTAAGTATAGTCATGTCTCTATATGCACTGACAAAACATCCTTGAACTAAATTGATCACAGTTAGAATACATGTGTGTTGATAATATACATAATATCTGTCTCCACAAAATATAAGACAATCTCTACTTATATAGTATTTAGTATACTGTAGTATTTCAGGAATTATAAAAGATGACTTCAAGTATACAAGAGGATGCATACATGTGATCAACACAATCCATCACTTTTAAATAAGGCTTTTGAACTTCCATGGATACTTGGGTATTCACAGAAAATCCCAGAACCAATCCCTGAGTAGTCATAGACCTTGTAAATAGGTAGCCTTGGCAGAGAATACCAACTTAGATAAGGACAAGCAAGTCATAGGCAGAGTCATAGTGACTTGTCCCCTGAACCTTCACCCAGCCGATACCTGGTTCTGAAGATACCTGTATTCCCCCTGAACACCCACACTCCATTGTCATTCTCTTCCTCACATCCTGCCTTTCTATGTTGATAACCCCTGTGTGAATGAATTACGATTTGAGAAAAAATAAATTATAAAAAAAACAAAAAAAGGAGAAAAGAAAGAGGAAGAAGAAGAAGGAGAAGGAAAGAAGAAGTAACTTTCCTTCCATTCCTCTGTCTCTTCTACTATTCCTTCTTTTCTTCAGACAGTTCTGAATAAGTGATGTTTAAAACATAGCTTCTTCAACATATCTTGGGAAGGGGATTTTATTATAGAACATATATTAAAGCAAAATACATTTTGAGGAAAAACAAGAATAGTAGGGAACATAGCAAGGGGAAGAAGAGAGACTCTGAAGAAAGAAGTGCTTGGTCTGCATGGCATTTGGAAACATGAGCAAAGAGGCTTTAAAACACACATACACATACACACACACACACACACACACAGAGAGAGAGAGAGAGAGAGAGAGAGAGAGAGAGAGAGAGAGACCCCTTGAGAGAGATTACTAAAGACGTGACTTATTCATCAAGATATTTTGAAGCTTGAAGCTTGTATTTCTATTAAGTTTTGGACAGATACTTACCTCAAAGTACCCTAGATTTCTACAGATTGATTTTTAGCCCTTTCAAAGTGCTAGAGAGATTGACCAGAAATGTCTTACCTTCAACACAAGAAGGCTGTGCCCGAGTTGTGCCAGCCACCTGGCCTGGGAAGCAGGAACATTTGACTGTCTGAGAGCGTTCCTCTATGCGGTTCTTATTGCAGCAGCGGTGCACAGCAACCACCTCGCACGTACCTTGCTTGATCAGGTGGTGACCTGGGAGGTAAGGATAGAACACACAGACCAGATGCTGTTAGAGCAGAGCAGAATTACCAAGGACTTAGTGACCCTGTGACTACTGTATTGTTCCCACCTGCCATGTTCTTCCCACCCAATGTGTTATGCTTTTGATTGTTGATAATGTTTCCATTTGATGATATTACAAAGTAGTATAAAATTAGTTTTAAAAAAAAGTGATGGATCCTCCAAAATCTCAGCTTCAGAATTCTTGTGGTTATTTTACATTTGTGACATGGCCCTAGGGATGTTGCTAAAATTAAGATTGATTTTAGAGGAGCAGATCCTAACTTGTCCAGATAGAAACAATTGAATTCCATGAGCCCTTAAAAGCTGAAAGACTGAAGGCATACCTGGGGTTAAGGACTGTTGCTAGCTTGCAAATGGAGGCAGAAACATATGGATGAACTAGAGACATCCATCTTATCAAACATGAATTCAATCAAGAACCTGAAATTGTCTGAAGCCAGTTTGTCGCTACAGGCTACATAAAGGACTGCAGCCCTGTTGATGTCTTTGTCATGAGACCCTCGAGAGATAATCAGCCAAGCCCAGACTTCTCATCTTCTAGGATGAGATACAGATTTGATGGCAACGTGTTAGAGCAACAATAGACACCTAACTGTTCACCCAAATCTACCAGTTTTTATTTGACCACATTTGATACATTGTTCACAACCTGTCTCACTGATACTCATTTACCCCTCAAGACATCAGTGCATATTTTCTGAAAAATAAACATCCTTGTGTAATTAGTCAGATTACCTTCTGATTAATGCTGTCGTGCAATATCTATACATACAGATAGTCCCAGCAATGCCCTGTGTCTCCCCTGCCCAGATTCTACTACGGAAGCTTGCTCAAATTCACTTGTTACATGCTATTAGCTCCCTTTAATCAGATTAATTCCTCAAACATTCTTCCTTGACCTTAGCATTGTTAAAAGAATACATGGTAGTCAATTTACAAAGTTAGCTCCCTTTGTTTTTGTTGTTGTTTTGTTTTTGTTTTGGGGAGTGTGTGCGTGTGTGCGTGCGTGTGTGTGCATGTGTGTGTGTGTGTGTGTGTGTGTGTGTTTCATTCCCTTGATAAGACTTGGGTCATTCATTTTTAGCTGAGAATTATGGCAGCAACCTCATGTTCTCCTATAATGAGTCACATGGTGCCCTGTTATCCCATTCTTACAGTGTTAGCTTTAATCACCTGGTATCTCTCGGGCTTCTTTGTTGTGAAATTCCATTTTCTCTAATAATTTAATATACATTTTGAGAAGAGAAATATTGAAACTACATATACCTTATTTGTCAACCTTCTACCCTCTCATTTTAGAACCCACTGAAGATTTAGACCTGAATCAATCATTAATTTGATGGTCATAAGGCTGACTCTCTGTCAGTATTCAAATTGCTCTGGATCTGCACAAAAGGATGCCTTTCACTCTTGACTGCTGTATTGTTTTGACATGGATTTCTATTTCCTTAAACAATATACTAAGCTTATGGCTCACAAGTACATTCTAGGCATGCCATTCTTCCCAGCTCTCCTCATTTCTCTAGCCTTGATGAGCTTTAAGAAGTGGTCAGGCTTAGAAACCATGACCTTCATGTATAGGCTTAGTCATTACTCCACTGGAGTGATCTGTACTCTGTTAGTACACATATGTTTCGGTAATATTTAAATTGGCAGCACCCAGTCTGGCTTGTTTTTATGGGGTGCCATGTTCCTGACTAGGCAAGGCCTGAGGCCATGAGCAGCCAGGCTGGCCAGAAGCACCGGCCCTGGCACCCATGAAACACCAGTGTGGGAGATGGCTCTGCTAATCTACCACACTGTCTCCACGATGCTTAGCTGAGCCCAGACCATCCCGCCATCCATGCAGTACCCGGTAGAAATGAGACTCTAAAGCTTAATTATTATCCAAAACTTTATATATTTAGAAAGGCTCAATTAACAATTTGCCCACACAATTAGAGTTGTTTCCCAATATCTAACCTTATGACATAAATCTTTACCCAGGACCATCCTGGACCCATGCGTGGTTCTCCATGGCTCCTACATCTCTCCCCTCTCTCCTCCTCTTCCTTCTCCTCTTCCTCTCCTCCCGACTCCTCACTCCGCCTACCTCTCATACAGCTCAATCGCCAAGCTTTATACAAAGTAGTGGGAAGATATCCTGCTACAGACATATGTACATATACATGGCATAAGTCTATGCAGATATCAAGTTCTAATCAAGTGTCACAAGTTCATGCTACTCCCTCCTATACTTGTCTCTCCATTACTAACAATAATGATAAACCTGACTCCTATAGTCCATAGACACCAGAATAGAATGGATACGAGGCTGGTTTTCATCACCAGTAGTGTGTAGCAGAAACAGTGCTAGGGCATGTCACTAGTAAGGAAGCTTCCATCCCTGGTGATCACATCTCTCACTTGGGGATAACTGTGATATGAGCAAATAAATTCTATTGCCAAGATCTGAGTAGATGAACTTGCAAAGCAAAGATGTTCTAGTCACCCCTACCCCAGAAGGAGCTGGTCTCTGTGACTATACAGAACTAAGGATTGTCATGCATTTTTTTCTGATGAAATGGATGGAACTGAACATGGAGATATTACAGCTTGATCACCAAATACAACTACATTCAAGATTAGGGATTCAACACAGATATTGAGCAAGGACATCAACATTCCAACCACGAAAAAACAGCACGCCTTACTAGATTATTAAATGATCCTAGGGAGTCCATAATGAAGGCAACTCTATGCTTCATTTAGAAACTGAAAGAAATATGCTTTAATAACTTCTTAGCAAAGTTAACAAGTAATTTCGACCTTTAGTAATAACATGGTCTACTTGGTGCTCTGTTGCTGTTTGGATAACTACACACAAACACAAATGCATTATCTTCTAGTCAAATTTAGATGTGTTCCAGGCCTCCCAGAATGATCATTTTCCCTGACTCAAGCTTACATTTACTTATACAAACCAATCTACGATGTGTCCTTGTTTTTAAGACTTACTATATTATCTTCTAACCTAAAAGAAAATAGAATAGCAAATCACATCCTACAACAATAATTGACACTGTTTAAAATCCTTAGGAGTGCCCATATCATGCTATGCTGAGAATTCAATGACATCTCAGATTTTATTAAATATGGCAGGCACTGTTGTAAATATTTTACAAATATCCTGTGTGATCTAATAAAAATGCTGTGAGATAGGAATTGTTCTTCGTCCAGTTATATTTCTTAACAAAGTATATAAACATTGTTTCACCCAAAGGTCACATAAAGACATGACTTGCATTGAATCTCACCTCTTTATAGTCTGTATAGGATAGAAGAAAATGACCCCCCTGCCTCAACGATTCACACAACATAGGTCAGCATCCTAACAAAACTTATTTTTCTACTCAATGATAGTGTTTATGTGACTCCAGATATACATGGGTTCTGGAAATGTGTGTCATGGTGACACTGAACCTTAATCTCTGGTTAAATTTGTTTTATTCCCCTCCAGTCTCACAGTCCAGAAGATAACACACCTCAGTAAGTATCAGCAAAACAACCTACCATGCACTTGTACCCAGAATTCACTAACTGCAGTTGTTTGTCCACTTGATTTGAAGCAAGGTCTCCAGAGAAGTAGGACAGAAAGGATGTACACAAGGGAAAAGAGGCACATTCCCTACAATTGACCACCCTGACACTCAGCCAAAAACAATACCTAAACACAAAGTCAAATCAATAAGGATTTTTTTTTAGATCAGCCTTTTTCTTCTCTTCAGGCCTTCAGTGAATTGTCTGAGGCCTATACACACTGCAGAAGATGAAATGAGTTAGACTACAAACTCAAATGCTAACTTCATCCATAAACATGCTCACCAACTCCCCTGGAATAATGCTGGACCAAGTGTCTCAGCATCCCTTGGGGAAATCAAGTTACCACAGAAACCTCACCACCATGAATGTTATGTGACTCTGCATGATAGACAGTGTTGTTTGATGGAGGGACATGTGATCATTGACACAAACTCATGGCTTTCATTGTAAGTTTACCTCTAAAATGCATAGGACCAATGTTTGATGTGCAACCCCAACAGCAAAGCTGTATCAAGCAAGCTCACTTCCACCACAGAGAAGTTTCCTCCTCTGATAAGATAGCAATATTCTCATGAATGAGGTCCATCTGAAAACTTCAGTCAATGTTAAGAATATAGTGATAAGTGACTGGCTATCCATGCAACTTCTCTGGCGATTTAAAGGTTTGAGCTTGGGTTAGGAGAGAGAAAACCAAGTCATCTGAAGGTAGGGATATTCTTGGAGGGACACTGAATAAAAAAATAAATAAATAAAATCCACCCCCTTATCCTGCCTGTGGAACTTGGTCAGTTGCTAGGCTGTTCCCTCTGTGCTTCCCCTCCCTGTATGGGCAGAGGCACGAGTAGATACAGAAGTATGTATTTATTTTTATAACCAAACTTATATACAGTATACAATGATCACCCAGACTATAGAACAGGTGGCTCTCAATGATATCTAAGACATGCTATTGAAGTGGGGAAACTTGAAACTGTTAAGTAATTCTTTTCCACACCTCTGAAGTTCACATTGAAGGCTTGCATATTTTCTTTTCAAAAGAGAAGACTTAAGATATTGGCAGAACTGTAAAATGCAAGAAGCCTCTTCCCTCACTCACCAGAATAGTTAATGTGCACAGCACTATTAAAGGGGTTATGATAATCCTTGCAATAAAAATTGATTGCTTCAGGATTGCTATGGAGGGTGGATTAACTCCATCTGAAGAGTAAATAGCTTAAACACATATCGGGGGTTTTTTATTGTTATTAAATATGCCTTTAAGAAAAATTTCAAACAACAGGGAAAATACTCATTTGTCCCAGGCAAGCAAGGCTGTTCTGCTGTGAAATGAATAAACTACAAAGCCACATATACAACAGAACTTCTGC